TTTTTGATCCTTACTTGTTTTTTCTTGATCCTCAGATTTTTTTTTGTTGATCCTTATTTGTTTTTTTGATCCTCCACCCAGTATTATTTGGAGGTCGACATTATGCAGCCAGCGCATGCCATTTTTCAATTTTCACATATTACTGTCCATTGGAAATCGGCAAACATTGTTGTCACGGCTAGCGGCTGCGCAGAATTGTCTAGCTGCTGCTCGTTTTTTCTTCTGGTGGTGACTGCTGGCTCCAGTGTTGTGAGTCTGCCACTGTCTCCTGCCTTCGATCAAGCTGTTGCTTCTGCTGGGTCGAAGGCGCTGTTACACTTGACTGTCAGAAAGGCACGGTACTCGCATCAGCTACATGCATGATGCGCTGCAGCACTAGCAGGACTCACAGGGCAAGAGTGGAAGCCTTAGACTGGCTTAAACAAGGGTGAAGAGCATGGGACTGGCGGGAGGGCGGGATGGTCGCCTTTGCGTTTCACCGAAAAAAACATGGGCCCTGTTCCGACGCTCTCCCCAGATCTGATACTTCTGCCCGTCCTCCCTAAAGCTACTCCCGTTCGCTTTCCTTTTGTTAGAGGCATACGTGGCCTCCTGGAGGCCTTACCTTACACACTCCTTAAAACATCTTAGAAAACGGTCATTTTGCTGGAAGCAGGAGCGTAAGAGGTGCTGCTTTTCCAGAAGAATTTAACAGCTCAAACCAGAAGGTGGGACGGGGGGCTGGTGAAGGCTGCATGGCCAGACTCTTGGTATCGCGGGAGAGGGCAGGACACAGGCAGAAGGCGCAAATCCTGCAAGTTTGTGCCTCAATGAGTTCACCTCCCGAATAATTAATCCCTTCCCCCTAATATCAAACGGCTGCCCCCCAAGGTAAATACTCGCGCACGTATTTAATATTGGGGGGGGGGAGGGCATTTATCGTACGACCCGAACATTAGGGGGGGGGCAATTTGAATCTTATCAAAATGGTATAGACTTCAAATACATCTAATAAACATCTAATTATTTCGAATTAGGATTGGGCGCAGGCGGCTGTAAGCGGCGTGGGCGGTGCGGGCTGTGTAATTGCCGGATTAGGCGGCGCGGGCGGTGTAAGCGGCGTATATTTGATGTTAGGTTAGGGGGGCTTAATATTAGGGGGAAGGGATTACTGACGCTCTTCTAGCAGGTTGTTGCCCGCAACTGGGAGCACCATATTGATAAGAAGGCACGGATGGACAGTGGATTGCAATGGTCTCAAACTGCGGGGTATGCAAGCTGACCATCTTGAAGGCCTTCGTGCTTGTAGTCCAGTCCTGGTTCAACTTGGCGAAAATGGAAGCAAACCGGCGGGCTGCGCAGGCGTGGCTATGTCGGCTATGTGATGCCGTTTGAAGCTAGACCATCCTAAGCGTTAGCTGACGAAGGCCAAACGATCAAGAAGCTTGGCTCGCAAACTTGTGTTTTCAGGGGCGGGCCACATCACACCAGGCATCACCAGACTAGGCCAGGCCAGGCTTAACCAGCTGCAGTAGCTGCAGGCTTCCATTCCCTTCGGCGGGTGATCTTGCCAGTGCACTCAGCAATCATGCCTGTCCATTCAAGCAGAGCACGCACGTGATACTCAAAGCTCGAGGGATCAGCAAGATGACGCTCATGAGGCTGCTTTGGGCATCATGTGCGGCTAGAAGTCTGTCGCTTGAGAAGGCTGGCCATTCTTGATATCATTCAGATGCTGTGCCAAATGATCAGTGATGAGTGAGCTGTGGGCCGGCACCAGTGGAGGTGACGAGGATTGTGCACAGCATCCACCAGACCTACTTAATGATGCTAGCGCCTCAGCCTTGAGACTTCGAGCATCACGTAAAGAAAACTCATTCAATTTAAGCATGCAGAGTTTCAGCATGATTGGCAGCGGTGTATGCCTGCAGATGGTTTGTTTGACAGATCAACGAGATTTGCTCGGCGCCCTTGTCAACCTGAGGCATGTTCTGCGGCTGTGGAGCTGCAAGTCCCCGGCAGAGGCCATTTCTGCAAGGTTTCAGACATCGTCAATCCGCATTCAGAACTTGCGGTAGGTGCGAGCCAAAGGCATTCTTTGACCATCCTCCCTGACCCTATAAGCCGCCGGAGAGGTGTGGGGGGCTAGTTACATGCACGACAGAGGCATTTTTAACCAACCCTCCTCCCCGACCCTTTCACCCCCGCAAGCTTTCCGCGAAGAAGTTTTTGCTCACAAGAAAAGTGTTGATCTTGTCTTCAGTCGCTCTGCTCGGCGAACTGTTTAGGGGTCGCACAGGGAGACAGCGGTCCTGACATCTCCTAGCACTACTACTGCAATTGGCTGCCTGTCAGGCAATGATATTACAACCGGACGATAAACGTGTAGCAACACGTATTGCCTAGGGGGTTTGGGGGGTTGGGTCGGGGTTGTGGTGGTGCTGGTGGCGGTGGTAGTAGTAGTAGTAGTAGTTGTAGTAGTAGTAGTAGTAGTAGCAGCAGCAGCAGCAGCAAGCGCTATTTTCGTATTCGACGGTATTGTTTTGATTGATTATAAAACAGTATTAAGTCTGAAGCAGCGCAGGACCCCCGCTCAAACATCCTCACTCAGATAGTGTAGTGATTTGGGGCACGCCTCTTTCCGAGACTCATGCCAAAAGAAGGGACGACGCCAAAGGCCCCTTGATTTGGAATGCTGGGACGACCCTGGATGACAATGATGTCAGGGGGAGCCAGAAAAACACAACTTTCCGCTAGCCCCTGGACGAGCTCTGGACTAGAGTCGTGAGCCGGGAGAAAAACTCCTGTAGCCCTGGGGCTACTATGGTATGTCCTGATCATACATGAGAAGGACTGCAAATTGTGAAGCTAGAACGGCGGGCGCGGTGGATGCTGTTCTTTGGAGGCAGCAGAAAGTCGAACCACCCCTTGCCCATCTTAGGGAGGAAGCTCCTCGTTTTCCTGCTCTTGCCCCAATCCTCTCTACCAGCTAGGTGCTTGGACAGAAAGATAAAGCACCAGAACAAGGGGTGGTGAGGAACCATGGTTGGATTTGTAGAGATGGTAGGGTGGGTCGCAGAGGCAACATAACCATGAACACGGATAAGAGGCAGACACATCCGCATGCCAGTGAGTGTTGTAGCTGGCCAGCAAGGGCCAGCACAAATGCGTCAATCTCAACTTTCGCAGCCCTTGCCCGGTCGCGACATTTACCCATAGATACACATAAACAACTTCAAGGTTTGTACTCTAGCCTCTGGTTCCAGCACAATTTGCCGGCAGGAGGTTTGGGTTAAGGTCTGAGGGTGGGGGTCGCCGTTTTAACTTGTTTTAAAACAAGTTAAAACAAGCCGAGACATGAAAGCATGCACCACGGTGCATGAATAAGTGAACTTTGGCTGCCATGAGTGCCATAGCAGGCAGNNCGGCACAAGGTTTGACAAGCCGAAAGGCGAAAGCGCTCACCGCAAAACAATTGCTGATGGTGAGTGTGCTGTAGCTGCTTAGTTCCGTTGCCGGGTTGAGTGCTTTAAATCCGTGCGGTTCTTTCTGTGCAGCTTCGTTTCATGAGCGCAGGACACCAGAAGCAACATGCTTCCACAAGGACAGGGCATGCCATCCGCGAATATGCAGGCGGCGGCCATGTCTGCTGCAGCCATCTCGTCTGCTCGGTAGAGGGGTCGGTTTTGACGCCTCAATTTGGGTCGCTTGTGACTTCTCAACCTTTTCCGTCGGGAAATGCGGACCTGTCGTAGTTACTATAGTTTTAGGAGCTGTGATTCCTACGTACCTTACAGTAACTTGCGTTGCTGGTGATGCTTGTGACTTCTCACATATTGTCGTCGCATTCGTGGCGAAATGCAGAATGTCGTCGTTTTCGGAACTGTGATTCCTAGACACCTTCCAGTTGCATGCTTGTGCTCGTAACATGCAGACTTGTCATCGTTTTCGGAGCTGTGATTTTTTGACCCTTGACAGTCGCGTGCGTATGCCTCGTAAAATGTAGAAGCGTCGTCGTTTTCGGATCCGTGATTCCTCAACTCTTGACGGTTGCGTATGTGTTCTCCCCATCATGCTTTTCGAAGCTGTCTTTTTCTGCCATTTGAAAGTAGCATGCTTCTGCACCTGTAAATGGCAAAGTTGTCATCGTTCTCGGAGCTCGGATTCTCTGACTCTTGACATCAGCATGTTCGTGTTTCTCGTAAAATGCAGAACTGTCGTACCCCCAACCCACCTTAAACTTTGAAGCCCAATTCTAAGCTCCCTAAACCCTCACCTTAAACCTGAATCCAAGCACTTGTTCAATTTGGGGAGCACCCCGCCAGAATAAGGAATTGAGGGCGCCAGATTAAAAGAATGATTGGAGCTCCTGGAACTTTAAGAAAGAAGAGGAATGTGTATTGAATTGAATCTCCATTAAGAATCCAAAAGAAGATCATTCCTGTGTCACAAAACAGCAGCTGCCAGTCTTCTTGCAGTAAATGTAGTTCAAACTACTTGCTCAAATCCACCACGGATGGGCTCCCCAGAAAACTTCTTTGAGCGTAGTCCCTTTTTCCCATACGAAAAGCCACCTAATTGTATTTTACCCAAAGAATTTCTTTAAATGCGGACCCTTTAATAAAACAAGTGCTCGGATTAATCCCTAACCCCTTCAGCCGTTGCATTGAGTGAAGGGTAGTCCTCAGGAACTGGATTTGGCAAGTGTGGGCTAGAGTGTTTGTTGTTGTCATTTTTCCTGGGGCTGGCTAGCTGTGCTGGGATTTCGGAACGAACCGTGCTTGCTTGGAATGATGCGCGTGCCCAAACCTCCTAACTTAAGCGTGGCGTGAGTGGGCTGGTCAAAGTGCCGGTCCCGTCAACGACCATTCGGGACAGTTGCTGCCGTGCTTGCTTTGTGCGATGCGCGTGTCTAAATACCGTGAACCAGCTCTGAACCTAACCCCCGACCCTAGAAGAAGAAATGCATGGGCTGCAGGACGGGCAGAAGGGTCAGTTGGTCGTTTTGAAAACGACTTGCGCGTTCTTTGGAGTGTGTGTTGGTTCGCATGGCCTGTATATGCGTGTTGTTTTGTTGTTTTGTCTGCTCGAAAGTTCGGATGCTTTCATCTGGAGATCAAGCCCTCTGAAGACCCCAACGGCAAGGTCATGAAGCTCAGGTACAAGGGCCGACCTCGTGCGCGGGCTGAAAGGTCCCCCCTTCAATCCTTAAACCCTGCACCCTTAACCGTGAGCCCTAACCCCCGGACTCCATACATTTGACCTCAGATCCCAGCCCGGGCCAGTTTTCAGGGAAAATCTTCAGGTATTTATTTCCAGAAAAACGTGCCCTGCCTGCAACACCTAAAGCATCTAAAGCCCAAAACTTTGGCCCTAAATCGTTAAAGCTTTGGCTCCCAACCCAGAAAACTGCAAACAATGACCCCAAAACATCCCCGACCAGGGGCAGTTTTCAAGAAAAATGTTCATGCAATTATTTGCCGGAAAACTAGGCTTCACCGCAATGCCGCAAAAAAATCTGAAGCCTGGCCCTAAATCGTTGAGACCGTAGCCACTGGCCCTGTCAACCTAAATCCCAGCCCGGGCCAGTTTTCTACCCCGAAACCGTGAACCTAGCCCTGACCCTAAACTCTTGATGCCATACGTAAACTTAAACTCGCGAAATGCAGAACTGTCGTCATTTTCGGAGCTGTGACTCCTAGACTTGCCAATTGCATACGTGTGCTACCCATAAAATCCAGAATTGTCATCGTTTTCGGAGCTGAACCCAGAGAAGTCACAAGTGCCTCAGGCGATTTTTGTCGCAAAATTCGCGTGTTGGAGAAGTCACAAGTGATCCCCTCCCCCTGCTCGTTATCCAAGTTAGGGACAACTCGAAATGCGTTAACTGGCAACCCGCTCATGGAGGTGCTTCTCAGGAGAGTCTGGCACAGATGGTTCGCGGCGGTTTTGGTGAAAGTGCCGAGCAGGCCTGCAGCCAAATCCTGTGCACCCAGCATCTGCCGAGCACCCGCTCGGGAGGCCAAAGGCGGCAGTTGCACTGGCCTGGTCGCGCGAGGACTCGCACCCCAAACCCACCCCAAGCTTCTGAAAGAATTCTGAGCTGGCAAGATGGGCTGAACATTTGAACACGGTCGAATGCGGCTGCTTGTGAATGATCCTGTTGAATTCCTGACGGGTAAGCAGCCCAAGGCACACAAGAGGCATCAACTTCTGATGTGATGGCGTAGTTTGAGAACGTTCTGTGAAGTCTCGCACAATGCTTTGTTGTGTCACCAGGACTGGGCAAAATAATATCCATGCCTGCAACTCGTACAACACCCGCAAAACACGTTCGGCTCTCCAGGTCTTCAGTTCTGCCTAGCAAAGGATGGGCGAAGCATAGTGGAAAACAATCACTCAATCTCCACTTCCCTTGTCATTCTATGACAACCAGGGGCCCTCATGGAACCTAAGCGATTTCAGTAAATAATGTCGGAGAAAGGGCTGCATCAGAGCAATTCAATGACTCCAAAGGATTGCAGGTGAGAACTGCGCAGGAAGCAACTGATGCTAAATTTGTTTCTTTCAGGAGGACTTCGTAATACTTTACTACATAGTTCGTCGGTATCACTGGGGCTTCCATTCGTTTTGATGCTTCCATTGGGGCCTCAAGCTACTTCTTATGGTCAATCACTGTATTCTTTTCATTATTTAGAAGCAGAATTACACAGCTTCGTTAAACCACAAACACCAGCACTAGCTGCGCCAAGGGGAAGCATAACTGCCCAGGACATGTGCATCCAGCGAGCAGCTTTGACAGCCTGGCGTGCAACGGTGATGGCCTGGCGCCAAGGGGATGTGGGTCAAAAAATCAACTAGGCAATGAGAAGTCAAACAAGGATCACTCAAACACCAGACAAGGATCAATAGCAAATCAAAATATTCTAGTAAAGAGAAATCAAAGAGACATTCTTTTCCCGCTGCCAGAACAGCAGGACAAAAGTAAGGAAAACCCAAGGCAGAAGGGAAGCAAGGAAGGAAGAAGGAACGATGGGCGAAGCAAAGGAGGGGGGAGGGAGGGAGGGAGGGAGGGAGGTCGTCATGTCATTCCTTGTCAGCTTTCAACATGTTTCATCGTATTCCATTATTTTCTATGTTTTTTTCTGCAGATTTTCAACATATTCACCACTTTTCATTCTCATCAAATTTTACGATTTTCGACATTTCCATCAATTTTGAATGCTTTTTCATCACATGTCAACATTTTTGTAATGACAGACCAGATTTTTCACCATGTTCACGGAAGCTCCATTTTCACCAGGTTTGTCATGTTTTACATTTTTCATCACGTTCATCATCTTAATTTGTTCTTCTTCATTTTCCACCGTGTTTCTCATAGGGATTTCTTCGTTATCACCATGTTCAACGTGCTCAATCATTTTCCTGCCTCTTCCATCCTTTTTAAGCGCATTCATCATATTTCAGGCATGGTTCATCACAATCATCATGTTCCATGCTTTTCAAACTTTTCATCAGGTGTAGGTGTCAGCATGTCTTTTCATCATGTTCATTACTTTACATTGTTTCCATAATTTCTATCATTTTCCATCAAAACATGAAATGTCTGGTAGTGCATCCTCATCAACAACTGCTTTCCTCAGTGGTTTGCAAACGGGAGGCTGCCCCCAACTCCCCTTCTGTTTTAAACATGAACTCGTATCATGTCTAATAGTCCTTCCTCATCATCAGCAACTGCCACATCAACTGCTTGCACACGGGAGTGAGCTGACTGCCCCCCCAACCCCCTGCTCTTTTTTGGCATGAACCCATATCATGTCCAATAGGGAATCCTTATCAACCTAGCAACAACTGCCACATTCCTCAAGGGTTTGCAAATTGGCTGCAAAACCTGCAACGTACCCGCTCCTTTCAAACATGAGCCCGTGATGAACTGCCACATTCTCCAATGGTTGGCTGCATCCCCCAAGCCCCCGGCAACATGAACCTGCATCATGTTTAGTACTGTGCCCTCATCGACAACTGCCACATTCCTTACCTGGTTTGGAAAGGGGAGGGCTGCACTCCCCAACCTGCCGCTCTGACCCCTCTGGCAAAGTACGTCACGCGCTCTCGCGTAGGGCACTCACATTCCTTCATTTTGATTTTGCTGATCCAGGTTCTGTGTTTGTTGAATCTCGGCTTTCTTTTATTGGTCCTCACTTGATTATTTGATCCCCACCCTCCCATACACATCACCCCATCACTCAAACATCAATCCATACCATAGACAACCTCCTTGACGGGACAACCCTTCACAATGCTTTTGGAAATGTTGATTCTGAACAGCTAACCCCACGAAAATTCACAGCATGCCATCAACTTCGCACCCCATGTGATACTTCACAAAAACCGTGCAAGAACCGCGTCAGGTCATCCTAGCCTTCACATCATCCCACTGATCAAACATGAAGCAGCCCTGTTGCCAACCACCTCCACAAAGCCTTTCTGCGAGCAAAACTTCTGAAGACACTGAGAGGGGTTGTCAATTCCGAGCAAATATCTGATGACGCTCCACGCAACAGCGTCCGGAGGCGCCCGAACACTGACAGGGTTGTCGATTCCGAGCAACATTCTGAGATCGCTCCGCGCAGGAGCATCCAGAGGCGCCGCAAACACTGAAAGGGTTGTTGGTTTCAAGCAACAGGATGAGGACGCTCCACGCAGGAGCTGCACGGATCCTCATTTTTTATCCTTATTTGATTTTTTTGACCCTCCACCCGACGCCAAGCAAGCCCTGAAGTTCCTTCGACAATCTTCGACAGGCACTGTACTGCCGCTCTCTCCAGCTTTACGTTAGGCCCTTAACCCTGAACATGGAATGAACTTCAACAACTAGAGCGGTCAAACACTTCAATTTCAGAGCGCGTTCAAAAGCACGCACGCCCATGCTTTGGAAACTGCATTCCAGGCCTCTGAATTCAGATGAGCAGCGGTTTCTTTACGATAGATCAATTAAGTGCGCAGCACTAACTCAGCAAATCCTGGTCCGAAAACAGGCTTTCCTGTGCGCGCGAAAGGAGGCGGAAGCTCCGTGCAAGTATATCTTCGCAGAATGGCTTGCAGAAGCTCAAGTTTTCAGAAGACCTGCCTCTCAACATGCAAGTCAAAGAGTTAAATCTTGCAGCTTAACCACAACCTTGAAGCCCTGAACGAAGTCACTAGAATGCTTTCAAGAGCATGCCCTCGTAGGATGATTCATGCAAATTATCTGAAAACATCTCCGGGCACAGGACGTTCGCGGAAGGTGCGCAGAAGGTCCGCTGAAGCCCGAAACGCGGCACTGCATGGGACAACTCCAATGAGTGGTGGTTAGTGTGGCCACATGTAGCTGCCAGATCGCAAGTGCACTCCTATGGAAATGACTCACTGTCATTTTGTGGTCGCATGGTAGCAACCAAATCCCAACTTGATCCCGTGAAAACCTTTGCGCAAACGCTACCGCGTTTCTGTAAACATGTCATCCTGCAGCTGGAATCCTTTACACTTCTCTAACCACGAAAGGAGTCAACCGAAAAGAGCATGCGCTGGAACCTTTGCCAGAGTCTTCGAAACTCTTTCACGGAAGCAAGTAAAGAAATCCAGCCGAAAAACCTTTGTGGAAGCAGCCGCGGAAGGCGGAAGCAAAAAAGACTACAAGCGCTACTGGCGGAAGGTCTGCCTAAGGCCTTCGCAGAAGGTGTAGTCTCAGATGTCCGCGTTGCCGCATGTTCACCATTTGCTTGCCGGACGTCTGGAATTTGAACGAAGCAACAACACAAGCATACGCGAACTTAACACAACCATCTTCTTGCCGCAAGCACCGCTATCTTAAAACACATCGCCCGCAGCTCGGCCCGCACGTACGACAGGTGGAGGGAAGCCTCGTGGGATACATCGTTCACCTGACACGGACAAACCTTACAGGGCCTCTCGAGTACTAGTAACTGGCACAGTTTTGCGTTGCCCTGCGCAGAGACTTGGGTATGTGTTGCTGAGGCTTTGGAGTACACTCGCGACCTTCGATTGCCAGTATCTAAGGATGAGCGCAAGCCCTGCTGTTCATGCACGTCACTGTTGCACATGTCCCCGCAGGCTTCAATCCCGCTTGTCGAGTGCCATCAACCATGCCGGTCATCTTGCACAATCTCGGCAGGTTTGCGGGATTATCTTCAAAGACGCCAGACAACAGCTATTTGATGCTACTATCCCCTTTTCGTAGGACATTCGAGGAGTGGTCGTGCTGTTGCATGTGTTCCTTACGTGGCGTGCGGGACCCTCATGCTTCCAGGCCCTCAGTGCCGAGAGTGTTTGTACTGAAGTCGGATGACAAAGGTTGTCACGCTGCAGGCTTGGCAGGATGGCGGAGAGTGACTCCATGAGCAGTACGGAGCCCTATCAGGTAGCTTCCCTGTCAGGAGCGACTGCAAAGAACTGACGTGGATTCATGCTGGCCCGCAGACAGCGCACAGACAGCCAGGCATGCAGTGCCGTGCGGCTTGATTGAGTTGGGAAACTGCTGTGACATGAGCGCTCGGAGCAGGAGAAAGGCGGACTTTCAACACCAGGCCCTGACTGTGGTTCTGTGATCTGTGGTCCACAGGATTCGCATCACGTTTGCGCGAAGGTTATCCTGGCATGGCGTGAGATGATACAGGCAACAACGATGAACAAAGTGCACATCCTGTTTGATCATTTTCCAAAATCGCCTGCTGAAGGTGCCCGTGGTTTCATCCAGGTGGGGCGCAAATTCTTTCGAGGACATTAACGACCCTGTTTGAGCAGAAGGGCGCATCTCGCACAGAGTATTCAATGCTACTGGCTACTGCCACGTAGCAACCCTAAATGACGGTGTGAGACTACCGACCACAAGGAGTGACTGTTGCCTTAGCTCAACGGGAGCTGTGGCTGCGATGGCTGCACTCGATTGAAGGCAGGTCCTCAACGAAATCCAAAGATCTAAAGGCTCATATGTTAGAGAAATGAGAACGAACCGCTGAAGCTTGAGGGGTTGTGAATCTTAGCAACCAGCCAGTAGGATCGCATTTCATCTGCAACGCGCCCTGGTAATGGCCAATGTGACTTTGAGGGCGTGGGGCGTGGAGTTGCCATAAGTGTTTCTGATTCCTACCTGCATTTGCCAGCCACGCATGCCACCAAAAGTTTCGCTTCGTCAGGAGGAGAAGAGCTTGATGCATCGAGAGCCCTCTGTCCCAACTGGCAGTTTCTGCAAGAAATTGGGCAGTCCTGACTGTTTCCCGAGGCTTGCTAGGCTGAAGGAAGAGAGCAAGCATCGTGCCATCGATTTGTTGCTCACTGAGAAAATGCACTCTTTGCAGCTTGCTAGTTGCCGCTTTGTATATCTTTTGAAGGTTGGAGGTGATGGCTCTCTCGAGAGAGGCGGCTGCCTTGACTCGGAGCTCGGAAAAGGATGCCATGCCATAATTCTTGTGGTTTTAGTGCTCCAGTGTTTGGAAGCAAGCTGAGGGAGCTTGTGCTAGACAAGCGCTGTGGGATGTGTCTTGGAGAAGCATGTTTCCGATGATAAGCAGAAAATGGATCACGAAGAGATTGTCACGGTAAGGCTGGACCAGACATAGTCAGCACACAGATGGCACATTTTACTTGTGGTCCTCTGATGTGATCTCGAAGTGTTTTTGCACCAGCGTCAGCTGATGGGTACCTTGCTATGGTTGGCGTGGTTAGTTGCATGGGGCCATCGCACGGTACAGCAGGAACCCCTCCTCCAACTAAAATAAACTTCGCTTGTGCCCTGCATTCTTCAGGTACTGCTTTGCGTCAGGTGGTGCTTTGGCGAGTGCAATTGCAGGTGTCATCGAGCAGTCGGATAGATAGTTATTGCTGCTGTGCAAATTCCCCGCCCTCCCGCCCTTGTGATGGGGTGCCGCTGCTGTGGGCACAGATACTAAACGATCTTGCATGGGAACAGAGACAGCTCATGCAGCATTTAGTCGCCAAACATGTGTATGTGTGGGTATCCACTTGGCTTGTGCTTGGGTTGCTGATAGTTCTGTGTGTGGAAAGAACCTGCTAGCTGAACCCAAGAGCAAGTGTCGTGGCGGACTTCATGATCAGGTAGTGAACCCACAATGCCCCCTTGCGTTGCCGTTCATGCTTCTTTGGGTTAGCTGCATCTCGGTGGCTGCTGATGAAGCCGGTATCTGCAGGATGGTGAGGTTCAACAAGCTGCTGTCCGCCGTGATGTCCATTCGTTTTCCGGGCTGGGCAAACATGACTGGTTGTGGCAAAAAATGCGGAACACGTGGTGCCCTGGTCTTTCTGATACACTACTTCCCAGATGACAAGAGGGAGTTACGCAGACTGCCCAGAGCCTGCGCCAGGCGACTAGACGCAGTCTTTCACTTGGTAGGCGCGCAGGTTGTATCGCGCAGTTTGGTCTCGAGGCTGTTCTCCATAAGGCTCGTGTGTAAAACAGCTTATCTCAATAAACATGTGTTGCCAGCCTGACATCCAGCTTGATCGATGCCTGGCAGAACTTCCAAGTTGCTCCAGCTTCTGCCTAGGATTTCAGGAGGCAATGCCAGACAAAATATCTTGTCATGCGCTGGTCGGTATTGCAACGAAACATAACGAAACATACAAATCTTATCTGACAGACATAAAGACGAAGGCACTTAGCTTGCTTGAGCTTGATGACTGCTGTATCGCTTCCATGACGGATGAATCTTGTCGGTGGCAAGCCGTGCAAGGCTCCTGTCTCGGCTTTTGCTCGCTTTTCCCCGATCCTTTTGCATCGTCTGCTCAGATGCGCTGGCGAAATTGGATCGCAGTTTGGATGCGGAGCTGGTCCGCATCCAACAGGATTTTGCTGAGGCCATCTGGCCAATGACTTGAGTGCTGGTGGTCCCTAGATGCATTTCACAGAGCGTCTCGGCGAGGAAGACTTGAATGGCTACACGATCTTGCAGGCGCTGTCCCCCGAAAACAAGAAGGCTCCATGGTCTTTGCTTGCGCTGATTTGCACTGATTCTCATGCTTGCCGCATCAAACCAGGCTTTGGTTGAGAAGTGCGCGCCTGTAGCATTGCTGAATCAAGCGATGGGGGCCTTGTGTGGCATGGCCGTAGGCGCGCTGGGGTGGTGCTTTACTCCGACACCATGTCCTTTTCCGCTGTTGCAGGCGATGCTTTGGGGCATCCGTTTGAGTACATAACAGTGACGGACACGCCGGGCACCTCTTATTTCGATCTCGCAACTCTGGAATTTCACGGGGAGTTCAATAAATTTGGATGTAAGCGGGGCCAGTGGACTGACGATGCATCAATGGGTCTGTGCATGGCAGACTCCTTCATCATGCGCCAAGCATTTGATGGAAGTGACCTGCGCCGTCGTTTTTGGTGTTGGTGGTTCCGGGGCTACAACAATGCCTTCCGGAAAGATCTGGAGCGGGAGTCAAGAAAATCAATCGGCTTGGGCGGTAACACTCAGAAATCTTTGGAGCCACTGGTTGACTGCTCGGATGCAGGCCGCACAAATGCTTGATGTGACGTCGTTATAGTTGCACCTGGGTCTTTGTCAGAGCCCGTCGGGCAGGTGTTCCTCCCGAGTATGAGTCAGCCAGCGAGGACGCCGGCAACGGCAGTTTGATGCGGCTCTGGCCTTGACTGATGTCTCTCAGGTCGAAGCGCTTGTGACAAACATTGAAGCAGAGCCGAGGTTGGCGGCTGTCCCGATCTTTTTCCACACTCTGCCACTTGAGGAGCTGTATAGACGTTGCCTCAGGATCTATCCATGTTGGGTCGTTTGTCAATCTACCGGTGCAACAGGCAGAGCATGCTTTGCTATAGTGTTTACTGCACCGCTGCAGGCCTGGCCCGGAAGTCTTCACTAACAACTCATCCGGGATTTGTTGCGGCAGAAGCTTGTGCTTTCCTTGCGCACCTTGCGCTGGGCTCAGACCTATATGCGTGGTAGTCAAAATTGTGGTCCGTGTTTGGGTACCCCAAAAATGGGGAGCCGTAACAACCTGTCATGTCACTAAGGTACGGCAAGCAATGCGCCTCCCTCCGGGGTCGGTGACAGCAAAAGAATTCTTGGATAGCGCTTCTGAGGACACTTGAGTGACAGGTGCCCTGGTTGTTGCAGGAAGCCAATTGGCTCCCTGCCATGCAGGAATTCTATGCAACATCCGGCTTGGCAACCCAGAGCGGCCCTGGCTTCGATGAGATGCAGTGGCCGCTTGAATGGCCTTTTTGGACGTCTCTGCTACCCCTAAGGCCTAAGCGACCCTGTGCAAGTGTAAGGCTGGTTTCTTCTAAACCCACTCGTGACACTGAGCGCTGCTGGAACTGGAAGAATGCCACCCTGGATATTGCTGGCACTTTAGCTGCCCGCGGATGGAGCTACAACGGCTACCCAGTGTCTGCCGACTACTTTGGCTCCTACTCGCTACGTAGCTGCACAAGTAGGGGATTGCAGGGCATATGGCATAGCCGGGAGCACAAGACAAATTGGCTTCTCTTCAACTTGCGCTTCCACGAGGTTGGATGGCCTTGCCGGCGCGCTCTGGGCAATGTACCACACGAGGCAGAGACTAGATAGAGACTAGCACAAGGCAACGGCTTTATTGCACGCAGAAGGTCTTTCGATGAAGCTTTATCGCGAGCGGTAAATCTCAATGGTGATGCAGACAGCTTTGGCTCTATTACAGGCTGGTCTTCCGCTAGCATGTGAGACATGAACCTCCGACGCCAAGCAAGTTGTTGTGTGATGTTTTGTCAGGCCAGATCGCAGGTGCATTCTATGGCTACTCCGCAATCAACAGGCAGTTTGTGGAATGGCTTTGCAGGTCCGGAAGCTCCATGTGATATGCAAGACATGGCACTTCCACGGAGCTGGATGCAAATAAGTCGTGTCCTGGAGTTTGGTCCTTAATGAGGTTAGCCATTTTCAGAGGGCAGTTGCCTGCCTGTTTTCGGAATTTGCCCCAAACATCTCCAACGAGAGAAACAAATGGATTGCTTTCACGAGTTTTTGCATGGCACCTCATGACACCAGGTTCCCGCATTTGAACACAAGACTTCCTGCTCTGAAAGAAATTGTGCACGCTGGCATCAAACTGATGATGGATTAGACAAGCAAGCTTGTGCTGCCGAGCCAGACTCCGTTCAGCTTCGAAAAGCTATTCTCAAACAACCGTACCATGCCGGCTTGAAAAGTATATTTGAATTTGGTCCCTTGCCATCCCGTCTTAGGACCTGTATGGTGGTCTAGGATGGTACTTTGCCAAGCCCATCGCCTGCAACATAAGTCAAAGTCTGAAGCTGGTGGTCCAAAAAGTCCAGCACCACAAGAGGAACGTTCAGACAGAAATTCCCTTGAGCCCCGTTGATATCTTCTTTGCTTTAGGGTATGAGTCGGGCAAGCCACGGACGTGGACAAGAGCAGCTGCCCAACTGTTTTCAAGGCCGGCCAAGCTTCCAGGCATTTGCACGCCCTTGCTCGCCAAGCCCGCGGTTGTACACTGCTTTTGCGGAGCGCACGAAAGTGCACATCATACACATCTTATTCATTTGCAAACGCTTTGGTGCTGTCTAGGGCTAGGGAGAACGAGCAAGCTGGCGAAGTGGTCGCGGCGTCCCGTAGCATCGGTGGATATCGGTGGCCAAGTTTTTTCCCGAAAGCTTTGCGAAGGGTTCTTCCCTGGAGGTGGTTGTCTATAGGATGGCTTGATGTTTGATTGATAGGATGGTGTGATGTTTCATTGCTGGGATGGTGCGAATGGGATGTGATGAGGTTGTTGTACGTTTGTCGTGGCATATCGGATGGGATGTGAGGCTCATTTAATGATATGAGGTTTTCGTTAGCTTTTGCACATTATGTGAGGTTGGCTCTAGGCGGCTCTGATTAATTATCATGTTCAAAGCACCATCTTTGGGTAGCAAGAACCCTGGCAGCAGCACTCAAAGTCTACTGCCTTTGCCAAGCGGAGTTCTTGTGGCGATCGAACTTGTTGTCCATCCAATGCATGTCGCGGTGGCTTAGCTCAAGGGGCCCCTTGATGGTGAAAAGGACGGTGGGGTGCCTGCAAGTGCAAGTGCAAACATGGAAGATTCACGAAATGTCGGCAGAAGATGCTCCTGCGTGCAGAACACACAAATGCTGAGATTGACATGGGAGGAGAATCCGTATGAAATTAAGATCATGGGGTTCCCAAGAAAGAGCTTTGGAGAACGTGATCATCACGCAATTCTCGTCCAGTAGCTTAACATGACCCCACACCACCTGTAGCAAGCAATGACCTCCTTGGATCCCGTATTTGTCAAACTTCGTGCAAATGGGCGCGCAGATGTTCGTCGTTCTCAACGACCACCACCAGTCAACTTAGTCATTGCCAGTTTCATGTCCATCACCAGCTCCAATCATCGCATGTTGTCAAAGCTCGAAGAGCGTTGTGCCCGCGGATGTGGCCGCAGTTTCGGTTCACATGGCATCGATGGCCGGGCGCAGTGCGAAAGACCTCCGGTGGGAAGCCTGGTCTGCACTGGCTGCACTGGAGGAGGTGCCTGCCAAAACTGCTCTTCAAGTTGGCGAACTAGGGCACGAAGTTGAATGGTCTGCGCATCCAGGATTTCCAGTTGATCTCTACACTCTTCAGCCACGCGCTCAAAGCGGATGCCCCATTGCTTTCAGGAACATGGCCTCCTCATTCTTTCGGATGACGTGGTCCCTCAACCTTTCCGCCTCGCGGTTCACAATGTCATTAGTCTGTACTTGTGCATCCGCTTGGCGCACCTCCCGGCTCAAAGAATGCGGAGCTCGGGATGCAGAGGAAGTCGGCGGTATGACCAACCAAATGATGACCAGGAAGCAGATAAGTTCTCCAATTCCATAGCCTTCGCCTGCAGTTTGGCGAGTCCGTCCGCAAGCTGTGCTGTTGCAGCGCCATGATCCACCCATGGCCCTCAAACGTTCAGCGGCCACTATGGCCATGGCGCCAGTGGCTCTGCTGTTCGTCATGAGGCTTGGATCCTCACATGGCCAAATCATCAAGTGCCACGCAGGGCGCACCCAATCCAGCTCATCAACAGCGTTCGCTGCGGGAGGATTGGCACGAACGAGTCAGTCACTTTGAGGACCATTCCAACAGGAACGGCGTGCCAACTCCACTTCATGCCTGCTTGCTATAAAGATGATCACTCCTCCCTGCGACGATCCATCTGGGCGAGCCGCCCAGTCTGCGTCGAATCAGTGTAGATGTAGACGCCGAAGACTCGATCCAGTCCGAAAAATGGCCATGTTGGTGGATCTCCGTCTCGTAGCACTCGACGACCTCCTTAGCAAAGCGGAGGGTTTTGTGTGCTTCGAGGATGTCGGACACTATGGGGCTCGACATAGCCGCTTGCAAAATTGACTCCGCGGCCCAGGCAGCGCTCCTCCAAGGAGCAAGTGCAGTCGCGCGATTTCTGTGTCTTCGAGGTTCCGTGGAGCATTTTTCCTGACCTTGTCAACAGTACTGGGTTTGATGGGCTGCACATACTTCTGAGTGGACATGGCCACGGTGTCATGGCTCATGCGTTACTTGAGCTGGAAAGCGATGGAGCAGCTTCTGTGCACAAGCCTTGTAACGCAAAGCTTGGTCCGGGCCCTGCTGTTCAACGTCGGACTTGCTGTTGACGTCCTTGCCGCTAAGCACCAAGTCATCGACATAGATGCCGAAGATGCCGTCCACAACACAACGTTTCCGGAATTCTTCATCTCCATCCGCGCTTAGCAGACACTGAGGTACACGCGCTTGTCCAAACGATGTTGTACAAGTTCCAGCTTTTCCGCGTTCACACGATCCGCTGCAGAATACCGAGCTGGAGCGCCTCCAAAGGCTGGCTTGAGGACATTTAATGATCTCATCATTTCTTGGCCCGATGAGACACGCCAAGCAGCGCCGGATGTTGGCATTGCCCGCTGCAAATATGCGCGCTTCATGGTCTGTCCGGTCAGCTTGTCAGCCTGCAGGAAAGCCCTGGCTGCAGAAGAAAAGTACAGTATCAAGCTGCGACCAAGCGTTGGCAACCTTGACACCTCCTGCGTCTTGTTTGTGCTTGAGGAAGAGTCGCACTATTGTCAATTCAGGGCCCTATAAGGCCTAATCTTTTGCAAGGTCGAAAGCCTGCCGCTCCTCAAGAGCCACGTGCTTCTCATTGAGTTCAGAGGCCACGAGATGCCACTCTGCGCTTGCTGCCCGGCAGCGCTTGCCAAAGGAGGAAGCGCGTCAAGAGCCCTCGCAGCCCGAGCACGCGTTTATCCCTTCGAGGTGGTCTGCGCTGGCATCCTTAACCGGCGCGGATACCCTCAGCGTACTTGTTCAACTTTGTCACCCACATGTGATGTATTGTAACATGTACTCTAGCAAGTAGCTTTTGGACATGTCTTACCATGATTTGGTGTGCTACATTTGCAGGCTCAAAAGACCGTTGGAAAACATAGTTTTCTGTTCATGGTAGCGGGGCTCCTGGACAGCCAGGGCTTCGACACACGTTCTAGGCTAAGGGTTCAGTTCAGGGGCCCAGGCTTGCATCTTTGGTCTTGTTCGAACAATCTGTGAGGGTTGGTTGTGAGACTCCGTAGCTTGCGCCATAGTGTGTGTGACGGTGGCAAGCCCGTCTGCAGCCACGGCAACTGTTGAGAGCTGTGAGCGTGCCAAGAACCGCCTTGCAGATTTATATCTTGACCAACTTCTTCGCAGGCCTAAACCACCAGGAAGAAGTGAGAACGGCTGGGGAAACATTATCAACACAGCAATTGAGGCATTTCGTAACAGACTTGAATCTTTGCACGATATCGATTCAATTTTGAGATTTGCTTTCAAAAGTCTTAAAGATCAGGACGACAAAGATTGTTTTCTCTTCTTTCTTGTGGAAGACATAGGAGAGACCTGTCTTCCGTTTGAAGATCAGGTGGCCTTTGTTCACTCAAAATCCGAGTCCCCTTCGTTTGAGCGTGACTTAAGCGTACGACTTGTGTTTGATCATCCTTTGAACCCAGTGCAAGCCGAGATTGATTTGACAGAAGAGCCAGAGAATCCAGGTGCAGAGCCCAGCAGTTCTTCAAGTGCATTTCGAGTTCCCTTGCAGGACAGTGCAGACGTTCTTGACCTTGATTGACTGTCTGAGCAATGTCGATCTCAGATGATGACACTCCAGACCTCGAGCCTCTTGCAGCAGGTGGTGCCCAGAGTTCAGGCCAGGTACCACATGCGCACAATCCCTTTTCACCCGTGTCTCCTGCATCACCAACCTCAGTCAGCTTGACGGCGCAGGATCTTCAGGTGTTGATGCAGCAAATGGTCTCAGCGACCAAGGCAGCTTCGGATGCTGCTCAAGCAGTGAGCAATATGGCAACATCAAGCAGTTCCTCTGGAACAAAGGGTTTAGAATCCAGGGATCTACTTAAGATTTTACCTAGACCAGAACCTTTTCGGGTTGATAAGCTTGAAGATGAACACGCAAGATGGGTGAGTTGGTACTGGCAGTTCCGGCAGTACCTTTGCGCCATAGACAGCCACTTTGATAGCGAGATCAGCTTGGTTGAGCGTGACTTGCATACAGAGGTTCATGTCTTGAATGAGGAGACAAATGCCAGAGGGTCTCAGCTGTATGCACTACTTTCTTCGTTGATCAAAGGCAGAGCTTTTCAGCTGGTCAAGCAGGTCCCGAATCAGCGTGGGTATGAGGCGCTTCGCATGTTACTTCTGCAGTTCCAGCCACCATCCAAAGTGCGTTCCTTAGGGATTTTGTCGGCGCTGACACAACTTAAAGGAGTTAACCCCAAAGAACCCTATCTTCCCCAAATTCTTGAGCTTGAAAGAGGG